CATAACGGTTACCCCTCCAGCGGCAGTAGAATTTCCAACGGCTACACTATCGTCAGCGGCACTTATGTTACTGGCGGCCGATTTTCCGTCAATGTCAAAACCGGCAAAGCCTTCGGCACCAGTTGACAGAAAAGTTTCAACTCCGGGAAAACCTCCGGCTGTGGCTGATGTTGGGGTGCTGGCAATTCTGTGTTCCCCGCTTGTGTTCTCCTCGCGGCCAGCTTCTTCCATGTGTTGGGCGTATAAACGCTTAAGTTGGGCGGCACTTGCTTTCGAGGGCGCGCTAATGCAAGCGGCCCTCAGTTTTTGAACCAGAAGCTCGTTCGGCATATTTTGGGTTTAAGACCACACCTGAGCTAAAAAGAAATTCCTTGGCCTGAAGGTTATGCCGCTTCTTTATTTTTAGGTTCAACTTTTAGGTTTTACAACGCTTTTTAATTTTTTCTCCTTCTCTCTTGATCGCCTGATCTCGAACAATCTCTACCAGGAAAAGTATGACTCGTTTTTTCGAAGAGTTGCCAACTTATCCCTAGCCTACTTATATTATTTCCCTTATACTACGTTCACACTAGCCTACGTATGTTATTTCTCTTATACTATGTTCACAATACTGAACGTTTTAAACATTGTCAAGGGTTGAAACTCGTTTCCAGTATGTTTCTGGGGTTGCTGATTACGGATCTGATGTCAGATTTGCAAAATTCAAAATGGCGGTTAAGAGTTTCAAAGAAATCCGGTTAACAATGGCGGTTAAGAGTTTCAAACAAATCCAACAACCACGCTGTCGAGTTTAAATAGCGGCAAATCAGCTGCACTTGATAGTAGTTGGTTGAATAAGGAAAATGAATTAGCAACAAGAGTTTACGGGATGTACATGGCTCAGTGGATAACGCTTCTGACTTTGAACATCGATTACGCAGGTTCGATCCCTGCTGAAGTCTAGAAAAAAAGAAGTCTGATGAGGAGATGTGGTGATCTCCGAAATAGCTGCTATAACTTCTATCGCCTAGACTTTGTTGCTTTTTCAATTTTTCCTAATAAACAATCGTGGTACAAAGCTCTTTAAAAAATAGTAAAAAACAATATGTTAATAAGCCACAATAACATTGACAAATCCAATCATTTTGTTAACAGTTGGTCGCCATTTTGGATCCACCATTTTGAATTTTGAAAAACTGACTTCAGATTCCTAGTTAGCAGCCCCAGAAACCCACCGGAAACGAGTTTCAACCTTTGACAATTTCTAAAACGTTCAGTATCAACGTTTTAATTTTAGTAATTTTTGTTTATTTGATCGCCATATTGGATCCGCCATTTTGAATTAAAAAAAAAATTGACTTCAGGTTCGTAATCGGTGACCCCAAAAACTCTGGAGTGCCGAGTTTCAAATAAATCTAACCATTTTTTTTTTAATTTATCGCCATTTTGGATCCGCCATTTTGAATTTTGAAAAACTAACTTCACATTCCTAATTAGCAACCCCAGAAACTCCCTGGTAACAAGTTCCAACCCACGACAATGCGTAAATCGTTCAGTATCACCGTATTAATTTTACTAGTGGCTTTTTGAGAGCATATTTTCGGGAACTAGGCCCATTCTCACTGTCCAAGACAGAAGTGTAATTGAGGGAATGTTCCCCAATAATACCAGAGTATTTATATGTAAAAACCACATTTTAAACTGCATTTTAACATGTCAAGAAAATAAAAATTTTGGAGCATCAGCGTTTTTATAAAACCAGCACGACCTCTAAGAAAACTTTTTTTTTTTAAATAAAAAAATACGTGTCCCTTTTTTTATCACAAATAACAATATTCTGATGTAGCGTTTATGAATTTCCAAAAAGAGTGTTTTTATGCACTACTCTAATATATATGCACTAGTAAAGGTTTTTATTCATATTTAAATAGCAGTGCTTTTGATGTGGGCCCCATAAAATGAAAGTTATTTAGTGAGGGTTTCATTATTTAAAAGTCCGGGAACAGCTGCACTAGAAAAGTACATGAATAAATTGGATATGGCTTTACAGAGCATTAATAAAGTTTCCAAAACATTAAAAATTCTTGTTATTCTTGCCCATGTTAGAGAAGGTTTAAAGTATATAGATCATAATAACGGGACCATATAACCACAACGTTCCCATCGTTGGACCTGAGTAACTCTGAACGTGGTTCACATAACTCACCTATATACATCAAGCTTTTAATGCACAATAGGTCTTGATAATACTTTCATATTCCAATAATACTCAAATTTTAGGCCCTATGGTTGCGCCTAATTCAAATATGAAATGTGTAAATGTGTATATAATTTGTATATACATATGTATACAGAGAACGAAAAAAACAATAGCAAACGTTTCGATATCGTTTAGTTTCGCTCATAGAAGGTAACGAAACACAACCGATTCAAATCACTCGGAAACATTTCGCGAGCTGTAACTTTACTCTGCTATCGTACGCGATAGCTAACGCAAACCAAACAACCACAGCAAACCAGCAAACCACAATCGAAACCATGCAAGTGAGCAAAAGAACAAACGATTCGTTTGGTTTGTGCTCGGCTTCCGTTGAAACATATCGTGTATTGTTAGCGCTCAAACTTTTCGTACTTGTTGTGGCAATGGGTAGTGCACGTTCGGTTTGTTTTCGTACTCTGTATGTATATATGTATATAATATATGTATGTTTATATACGCTGCAGCAAAATTTAGGGACAGTCTGGCAAAGCGCTAGTTCCGCCATACAAATTTCAGAACTGTCTCTGAACTACTGCAAAAGGGATGCAGAGTTGGACGGTTGAAACTCATATGTTGCTAGTTGCGCTGTCATCAATGTTACTCATCCTGGTCATGTGAAAGCTGACAAAATATGCACAAATGTAATATATTATATTTTTTCGATTTTCTTAGACCCTAAAACTAATAAGAAACTGTTTACGTTTATTTAATATGTAATTCTCTACATAGTTGATAGGGCAACTGCTAAAATATTTCCACAAAAGTCGTTATTGCTAGCATTAATGTCATTTTTTATACATATCTACGTACGTATAAAATTGAATGCAAAATATAAAATTTAGTTAAGCAACACTTGGCAGCAAAGGTCGGCGTACACCATTTCTTTTTTAAATATTCACAATATATTGAGAGTTAAAATTTGTTATTATTTAAATGATCATGCTTAAAATAAAATCATATAAACCGTATTTTAAAACTTTATACAAATAAAGTTAAATTTAACGACTTTTCATCAAAATGTTTGACCTTTTAATCGGATTTAAAAAAAAAATAAACAAAAGTGGTAAACAATCTCACTTTGAAATGGGAGTGCTATGGATATGAACGATACTGTACATACGTAAATATATCACTGAGCACCCGAAATGTTTAGTTATGCAGTCATTTTTTCTTATTTCCAATGTTTTTCATTTTAAATATTTTTCGTTAAGTTTCTATTTACGTACTATGTCTTATACTCCATAAACCATTTAAATTCAAACCCCGAACTGTGCTTCAAACTTGATAAACTCTAAAAACTGTTTTCAAATTTCAAAATTTTTAATCAGAGATATTTTTATAAATATTTCGATTATTCTGTTTTGTAACCCATCAAATTTTAGTGTAGTAAAGGTGGTGGAATAATAACAAGGTGTTGTCAGTAGCGACGTGTTTGTTGTGATTTTGACAAGATCGGCATGCTTATTTTCAGTGCTGCCGATCTTAATTTTTATACTACTATTCGTTGGGAAATAGTATCTAAAATACTCCATTTTAGTAATTCGTTTTATCGCGATTTTTAAAGAACTTCGTGTTTTCAGAACAATATTAATATTTAAAATTGCTGGTTTGTATAATTATTGTCCTCAAAAAGTAGAAAAATAAAAGATATCGTGGTTATCAATGGAAAAAACGTACACAAAAATCGTATGGAAAGGCGCTTTCTTATATTCAAATAACTTTTGCTGCATTGTCATAATATTGAGCCAAATGAACTACTGATACACTAGAATAGAGTGGCTGCTGGTAATAGGATGTTTATTATGATATTTAGGTAATCTATTTAGAAAATCATTTACAGTCTTATAGGAGATTATTGGCTCTTATTAATATATGTCAAGCGTGGGCTGTAACTTATCAGGCTTATAAGCCTGTAATTATACATTTTTCTACATTTAATTTGAAATAGTTATGCACGGATTAAGGTAGTAAATAATTAGTACCTTTTCTAGTACTTTAAAATGCGTGACCGGAATAGACCTGCCGAAAAAGTGAGGTTAATTTACTGACAACACCTTGTTATTATTACACCATGGTAAAGTGTAATCTTGCATCTTAAACGAAAATATTTAAATAGGAGAATACCTTCAAGAGCGTGCGTAAAATGAGTTATCAAAAATCAGCACGACTAATTAAACTAAAATTTAATGGGCTATAGAACTGCATACTTATAAACTCTATATTAAAATATAGAGTTTTTATAACAGTTTCTAGAATTCTACTAATTTCCAACACAGTTAGAAACGTGAATTTATTCGTTTATGTTATAATACTTATGAACCATCCTTAAATAAAAAATTTACGAAAAATATTTAGCATGAAAACCATTGTGAATATCCAAAATTCTATATTTCTTATTAGATGCCGGAAGTCTATGTATTACTTATATTTCAATACATTTAATACAATTTAACGCCGAGTTATCACAAATAAATAAGCATTCAATAAATCACCGTTCTCATTTTTTGACACGACTTAATTTAATATTTTTAATTATAAGTATCCCAGAAATACTCCTTATACTTACGTAAACAATATAAATTATTTTTAAGAATAACGGCTTTAGAAAATAAAGGAATAATAGACACTACAGTAAATTAGGTCAAAACAAATAGCTATTTAAACATAAAATGAAGTATTTTTATTTACAAAATTGTATGCGTGCTTATTTAAAGAAAAGGCTCTATACTATACTTGCTAGAACCAGCTCAGAACTAGCCACATTTTTTCTAGCCCGAAGGTGACCCTTTTTGAACTATCTAAGAACTGTTGTTATATGAACTGTCTCAGAACCATCTAAGCCAGTCAGCTCACAACAAGTTCAAAAGTTCTGCAGAGGGCGACGATTGTCACTTCGTAGGACATCGCCATGTTAAAAAAAAAACAGTTGAAAGCGATTTCCTACGAAGTGACAATTGTCGCCCTCTGCAGAACTTTTGAACTTGTTCTGAGCTGACTCTGGCTTAGATGGTTCTGAGACATATATATATACATATATATATATAATAACCTTTATATACAATTCATATACGATTCCTGCATTGTTAAAATGATAAGTATTAGTAAAAGTAAGTAAGTATTTCGTTTAAATGTAAAATATAAAAATGTGAATATATCGGAAATACGATTTTGATCTCGATGGATTTTGAACCTACAAATGATGTAGAAAAAGGCTTTGAAAGCCGATTTCAGGCACACTTTTATAAATCTGAAGACTGGTTCACTGGACCACCATAACTACGCAACCATGTTTTTAACAGGCGAAGGGTTGAAAAACTTCTTTCTTAAGTAGCGTTACTTGATGGAAAAGCATATTCGTCGTATTAACCAAGAACGAATGGGAATGGCTTTACGCTTATCTTATTGTTCCATTGTTCTANAACATATCATCAGGAACGTTCTAAAGAATAAATAAACAAAAAAGTTTATTCCAAACGTTCAGAATGAATAAAGAAATGCAGCCATTAAAGGAGACTAAAAAAAATACAAAATTTGAGACTAAATTTAAGTCATATTACTTGGTGAATTTATATAAAATGTATTTAATAATCTTATAAGGAAAAATAAGTTTAAAAAAAAGATAAGCGATATCAACAGAATTAATGAAATAAATTATAGATGATAATTGAAACATTGATCTAGATGGCCAGTTTAAACCTAATTTTGAGAAAAATAATTAAAAATAACTTATCTGTAGTTGCTTTGGTTCATAATGTTCTTCGTAGCAGCCGGAATGGAGTTCCAAATACTTATGGCATTGACGAAGAACAGCCTTGTTGAACTCGCATAATTGAAGTCTGGCAAAACCAAATTAAACCAGCGCGCAGATTTGCAAAAAAACAAGTTTATTGTATAAGTAAGTAGGTGTCTTTGTTGATATCAGACGATATAAGAATATGCAGCTTCTAGCTTTTAGGTAGTCAACTATGTTACAGCCTAACAGCCGAGTTCTCCAAGCAGAGATGTGATCANAACAGAATTAATGAAATAAATTATAGATGATAATTGAAACATTGATCTAGATGGCCAGTTTAAACCTAATTTTGAGAAAAATAATTAAAAATAACTTATCTGTAGTTGCTTTGGTTCATAATGTTCTTCGTAGCAGCCGGAATGGAGTTCCAAATACTTATGGCATTGACGAAGAACAGCCTTGTTGAACTCGCATAATTAAAGTCTGGCAAAACCAAATTACACCAGCGCGCAGATTTGCAAAAAACAAGTTTATTGTATAAGTAAGTAGGTGTCTTTGTTGATATCAGACGATATAAGAATATGCAGCTTCTAGCTTTTAGGTAGTCAACTATGTTACAGCCTAACAGCCGAGTTCTCCAAGCAGAGATGTGATCATATCAAAGCAAACTATAAACGTAGCGCGTAACATGATTGAAGACAACATCAATTTTGTGAGCAGAACGTGAGTCTAACTTAT